AAGAAGGAAGGTGTGTATGTATATATAAAGAGTCACTTTGCTGCACAGCAGAAATTCACACAACATTGTGAAACAGCTATGCTTTAACTTTAAAGTGCAAAAGAGTAGATCATAACACAATCTATAAAAGAAAAGGAAACCCACAGTGAACGAAATATTAGAAGAAATTCTTTAGCAAAAGGAAAATGTTCCCCCACAAAAAAAAAGAAAAGAAAATCACAAAGTCAAAGAAAAGCAAGGAAAAATGTATATGTGTGGGTAAATATAAGCAATTGCTAATTATATAAAACAATAACAATGTCTTACATAAACCAAAATTCAGAATATCTGTTCCCAAAACAAAGATACCATTGGAAAGGGAAAAAAGCAAACCACACACTAGTTGTAGCAAATGTATCCAACAGAGGATTCTTATTCAGAATTTATAAAAACAATCTCCAAACCAGGTAAAGACCAATGACTGAAATCAAATATTGCTCAAATGGGTACTTCACAAAATAATATTCAAATGGTAAACAAATGTCTAAGAAGATGCCCAGTATCCTTAGTCATTAGAGAAATGCAAATTAAAGAATAGTTCCAAGTGTTGATAAGGATGTTCAGCAAAGAAACACCCATACACTAAGTGGGGCTATCAGTTAGTTCAACCACTTTGGACCACTGTTAGGCAATGTTCACTGAAGCTGATCATAAACATCTCTATGACCATCATTCTGTTCCGAGATATAGACTCAACAGGTAAGCCAATGTATATTTGCCCAAAGACATGCTCATGGCACCATGTTCCATAATGGCCCACAATTGAAAACTAACTCAATCGTCCATAAAGGAAGAATGGATGAATAAATAGAATTCAACAGCAATGGGAAGGAACTAACTACAACCCAGAGGGATTCCACAGATTGAATATGAAGCAACAGGAGCCAAGTGCAAAAGATTACATACTGTATGGTTGCATTTATCCAGAGGGTAATAAAACCAGCAACATCAATCCATTGTAAAGGAAGAGAGACTGGCAGTTACCTTCGGAGGAGGTGAACTTGGAAGGAGACAGGAAGGGAGTATATTGGGTGCTGGTAACGCTCAGTCTTTATCTAGGTGTCGCTTGCTCATAATTCAGCTCGATGAACACATTGCTCTCTATGTATGTTACACTGAAATTAAATGGTTCACCAAAAAAAAAAAAAAAAAGTATTGGAAAGGCTATCCAGAAAGCACCAGGAGGAGGGTGAGAAGACAGCAGGGCAGGTGAGAGTGAGGCTGAGCAGAACCTGAGAGCAAAGTCAAAAGGCACCACCAGGATCCCCCTCATCAACTGTGCCAGGAGGGATCAGGGGCTGGTCCTGCTGAGACGGACCAGCTGCTTCTCTGAGTATCACAGACAGACCATTTAGAAGAGCTGACTCGGTCCACATGGAAAACGTTATCTCATTGGCCTCCTCCCCATAGTTTTGAATTCCATCCAACTCCTTTCTTTCTGATAGCACAAAAGGAAGGAATGTGCATACATGGACTTGACTTTAAGCGTCTCTGAAGACGACCGGGGGAAAATGTTAGGTAGCTTTTGGAAGGCGAGTGTGTGACACTGCAGCTCCAATACTGGATTCTGCTGCTCCCCGGAACTGTCACAGTCACTCAGTGGCATCACTAATTAGCTCAGTTGAGCGTACACCATGGGTCAGGCAGTGGCCACCACACTCTGTGTGTATTGTGAACTTGTTTAGCCCTCCCAATAAACCTATGAAGCATATTTTACTATCATCATCCCCAGTTTACAGACGAGAACATTGAGGTACAATAAAGTAGGCGCTTTGTCAAGTTACCACCCCTGGTTAGTAGTGAGGCTGGACTCTGCCCCCTCACGCTGCACCTCTGAGCTTCGCTAGTGGCTCAGATGGTAAAGAATTCACCTGCAACGCGGGAGACATTGGTTCGATTCCTGTGTCGGGAAGATCTCCTGCAGAAGGGCATGGATACCCACTCCAGTACTGTTGCCTGGAGAATTCCATGGACAGAGGAGCCAGGGGGGCTACAGTCCATGGGGTCACAAAGAGTTGGACATGACTAAGCAACTAATACTGCACCTCCACGCTCTGCCACCTCCTGGTGACCCAAGTTCAAGTCACCCCTACAGATTCCCAAGGTCAGCTTCTTCAAGACAGAGTTCATTTCTGGAGAAATAATCTTAAGAATGTCAAATCCAATGCACAGAGGGTAAAGTGCATTGTTCTATAGCCCACCAGGCTCCTCTGTCCATGGGATTCTCCAGGCAAGAATATCAGAGTGGGTAACCATTCCTTTCTCCAGGGGATCTTCCCGACCTGGGGATCGAACCCACATCTCTATGTCTCCTGCTTTGGCAGGCAAGTTCTTTACCACTAGTGGCACTTAGGAAGCCCTCTAAGTCTGATTCCTCCCCCCACCCCAAATCAGCACATTGCTAATAAAAAGACTAATCATGAGTTTTTTTTATGAAAATGATTACAAGCAACAAAATTTCATCTACTGTAAATGATGCTGTTTTCAGGAGGCTCACTTGTGCTTTAAAAATGTTGTATTCATTCTCAGCCCCAAGTCCTGCTCTCTGCTTTATAAAAATGAATTACAACCACGCTCAGAAAATGACTTTTCTCCCAGGGAGAACTTTTCAAGGGCAGACTGTCCTTGATAGGTAAGGAGAGTGGCTTGGTTTGGGGTATCTAATGACTATTCCGTGGGATAGGGAAGTGGGGGTGTGGGTGAGGGGGCTCTGTGCAGGTTGAACAGCAGTTCAGGGAGCAGAGACATCACCTGAGTCTACTTCCACCTACACTGTTCACAGCTGGGTAGCCTCAAAGAGGTGACTCAGCCTTTCTGAACTTCACTTTACTCACCCAGCCAATTAGATCCAGTGACTGAGTTATACAATTTAAATAAATTAGCATACTGAACCTAACTCAGTGACTAACACAGATAGCACTCTTCCATGGTAGATGGTTTACAACCAGAAACAGCATCTGATGGTTCTGCCCTGGAAGGGAGACACTTGCCCAGAGATGCTTCTAGCTGTTGACAACCCTGCACCAACTTGCCCCTCACCTTCTCCCACCCATCAGATCCACAGTCTCTCCAAAGGGAAACCAGAGCTCTGGCATTTGTTCTTGTTCAAAAAATGATGTTTCAGTGATTCTTTGTCAATAAAGGCAGAGCGTATTCTTCAAGCTTCATGAATAATAATAATGATAAGGACTTCCCTGGTGGTTCAGTGGTTAAAAATCCACCTTCCAATGCAGGGGACGGAGGTTTGATCCCTGGTCAGGGAACTAAGATCTCACATGCTATGGAGCAGCAAAGCCCACTTGCCACAACTAAGACCCAATGCAGCCAAATACATAAATTTTTTCATAAATGATCATGATAATGGCTTCCCTGGCAGCTCAGATGGTAAAGAATCTGCCTGTAATGCAGGATGAAAGTGAAGTCGCTCAGTCATGTCCGACTCTTTGCAACCCCATGGACTGTAGCCTACCAGACTCCTCTGTCCATGGGATTCTCCAGGCAAGAATACTGGAGTGGGTTGCCATTTCCTTTCAGATGCCTTAGTGGTAAAGAATCTGCCTGCGATGTAGGAGATGTAGGACACACAGTTTTGATTCTGATAGCTTGTGGTGAACGATGTTGATTTGTGATCTCCAAAGAAGAAGATTTAGCTTCGGGACCAGGGACCAGGGACCAGGGACCAGGTTTGGTCACTCAAGAGCTTTTGTGTAGCAGAGTTTTATGAAAGCATAAAAAGGGACAGAGAAAGCTTCTGACATAGACATCAGAAGGGGGATTAAGAGTGCTCCCTGGTTAGTCCTAGCAAGGGAGTTATATACTTTTTCATTTGGTTATTACAGTAAATCAAGAGAATGTCTCAAGGTTGTAAAAGCCTTAAAAGACCCACTCCCACAATATACATTTTAAGATGACAGGATTAGTCAGAAAATGTTCTCAAGAAGGAGAAACATGTCCTCAAGCAGGACACATTATTATTATATAATCCTCCGAACAGAGTTTAAGGGAAAAACATATCCTTGAGCAAGATGAGTTGCTTTGTTGTACATTCATCAGCTCTGGGTTTATAAAAAAATAAAGAAAAAAAAATAAATAAAAGGAAAGAAAAAAAAAAAAATAATTGTCCTTTTCTCCTCCTTGAGAACTCCAGACCCGTTTCTAGTTCTCAAAGGCCCCAGACTCCTTTCTCCTCCTTGGGGACCCCGGACTTCTTATAAATCTACCTAGGAATTGACTCTCTCAATTCCTGACTCAGGAAGATCCACTGGAGGAGGAAATGGCAAGCCACTCCAACCCACTCTCTTGCCTGGNCCCCCCCCCCCCCCCCCCCCCAGTGGAGGTGACACAATATTGCCATCTACTAACAAGGTAAACGGGGCTTTCCTGGTGGCTCAGTGGTGAAGAATCCACCTGGGATGCAGAAGATGGGGATTCAATCCCACAGGGGTCAAGAAGATCCCCTGGAGAAGGAAATGGCAACCCACTTCAGAATTATTGCCTGGAGAATCCCATGAACAGAGAAACCCGGTGGACTACAGTCCATGGGGTCACAAAAGAGTCAGACACAACTTAGCAATTAAACAACAACAAAAAGGCAAACAGATGCCCAAGTCTTCTCGATGAGGGAGACTGCCGGCCACCTTGCCTTGCCACGTACACAAAGCATGTGTGCCCTGTTTTCCAAGCAAGGGTTAATAAGAAATAACGACTAAACATTTCTTTGCCAAATCCACAAAACACAGTCTCAGCCTCAAGACCAAATGGTTTCAATTCTCTGCTCCCTCGCCTCCCTCCTGCCTTCAAGATAATCCCAGGGGACAGGCTGTGCAAAGAGCAGGTTCGAAAGCTTCAGGACTCACTCCTCCCACAGCCCACAGACAAAGCTGCTCTGTTTTTCTTAGGATAACCTTGCCGCACTTCTCACTTCTGTTCTGTGTCACCTTGAATGTTTCTTTATGTTGTGATCACTCCCAGGGCAAAGGTCCAGTGTTTCTTCATGGAGGGCCATCACCAAGGCTCCTGAGTTACCCGGGGACTCGCCCGTTCTCCTGACCAGAGAATGACCAGGATACCAGGGCCAGCCCGGAGCTGGGCAGAATCTCTTATGCAGAAGGTTGGTGTGGGGAGGGGGGTGGTCTCTCTCTCCCCCTTTTTGCAGAACTTTCCAGATATCTTCCACTACCCCCAACCTGGCCTTTTCTGTTGGGGTTTCCCGACACTGGTTTTAGTTGTTACTGAAGCCAGTTTTCCCTTAATGCTTTCTTAGCTTCTTCTCTGTCACTCTGTGGACTCAGCTTCTGAGCCTCAATTTCCTCCCCTGTAAAGGATGGTTACGGTGCTGCTTCTTGAAGTCATCGGCAAGGAGAATGAGGCTGGGAGTGGGAAGACCTGACTCTGGGCCTGGCATGTGCTAAATGCTCAGGAAGCAACATCACTCATGGTGAGAACTGGAAAACTCAAGAGTAAGTGCCGTCTGATTGAGTCTTCTTGGTTTGCATTGAAGGACCACGGTCCCGAAACGGAAACCTCGTTTTCCGAGGCTGCTCAGGCATGTGCAGGCACAGCTGGGGTTAGGAGTCCCATCTCCTGGAGACTGTCTCTGTTCACCAGGCTGCTCAAAGGCCTGATGCTGTACTTCCTCTTCATATTCCCGGGGCTTCCAGGCCAAAGTCTCAGCAGTGACATTGCCCAGGTGAGGATGAAGTGAGGGGAAAATTGGGTTCAACTTGATGCATATTTTACACTCAAGAGACACTTCTTTTTGTTTTTGTTCTGGTTTGTTTTTTGTTTTTGTTTTTTTACTTCTAATCACAATTATCAACTCAACTTCTTAAGAATGAAATATGGCAAAGTGTTTATGGAGCTAACTTCTCCTCCTGAGAAACAATGAGGGCAATAATGAGAATCATAATTTAAGAAAGGCCATCCAGGTCAAGTGCAGGGACTATCTAGACTCAGATGTTCCCTCTCGGTCCTGGACACGAGGTGTCAGTAGAAGGACCTGGCCTTTCCTCCCAGAACCAATCCACTAAGGACAAGGCCCCAAAAATGCCATTCCCCTAGCAGCCCATCAGGACTCAGACTAATTACCTGCGACCCTCATCCTCACTGGTCTCCAAATTATTTATATTTTCAATTAAGTCATTCCCTCAAGACAACAAATGCCAAATGCTGACAACGCTGCGCGTCCTCACTGTGCCCTTCAGAGCTCTAAGGCAGACTGGGGGCTGTGCTAACGCAGCGGCAGTGTTGGTTGCTTCCGTCCGTCCCTCTGCACTCGGGGCATCACACGGAATCCCACCCTTTCACAGCTCCCATGGTGCCAGGCTACCCAGCCTTCACCAGCCTCCTCTATCAAATCTGATGACAATCCTCAAGGACAGGTCCTGTCACCATCCTCACTTCACCAAGAAAAGATCCTCAGGATTTAAAACAGCAGAGCCTGTGTGGCAACGGATTGGCGTTGGAATTTTCAACCCCACCCACCCCCCATCTCCAGGAGGGGCTGGAGGCCGAGTCCACTTATGTCACCAATGGTCAGCTCCAGCTCACCCACGTGACGAAACCCCAGATGAAACATGAAACGTCAAGGCTAGGGGGCTTCCAGGTGGGCAAATATGCACTGGGAGGGTGGCACACCCTGATGCCATTGGGACAGAAACTTCTGCACCTGCCACCCTGCCCTCCCACCGCGCCCCCACCCAGATCTTGCTGCCCTGCACATCTCTTGATTGGGTTGCTCTTTATCTTTTCTAAGAAGATGGTGACCTAGATGGATGGGATGTGGGGGTGGTGAGAGGGAGGCCCAAGAGGAAGGTATGTATACACACCGCCACTCCCCTTGTGGCTCCGCTGGTAAAGAACCCGCCTGCAGTGTGGGGGACCTGGGTTCGATCCCTGGGTTGGGAAGAGCCCCTGGAGAAGGGAAAGGCTACGCACTCCAGTATTCTGGCCTGGAGAATGCCATGGACTGTATAGTCCATGGGGTTGCCAAGAGTCGGACACGGCTGAGCGACTTTCATTTTCACTTTCATGTTTATAGCTGCTTCACTTCATTGTATAGCAGCAACTAACTCAGCATTGTTGTAAAGCAACTATATATCCCAATTTTTTTAAAGAATAAAATGAAGCTAAGATCTCCTTTCTCCCTGCAAAGATGAAAGAAAATGAGTAAGTTCTAATGAGGTGCATGAACCTAGAGCCTTTTATACAGAGTGAAGTCAGAAAGAGAAAGACAAAGATTGTATATTGACACATATATACAAAATCTAGAAAGACGGTACCAATGATCCTACATTCAGGGCAGTGAAGGAGACACAGATCTAAAGAGCAGACTTTTGGATTCAGTGAGAGGAGAAGGTGGGAAGATTTGAGAGAATAGCATTGAACCGTATACATTACCATATGTAAAATAGATAGCCAAAGGACGTTTAATGTAAGATGCAGGGAACCCAAGGTGGGGAGGGAGGTGAAACGGGGTTTCAGGAGAGAGGGACACAATGCCTACAGCCAATTCATGTTGATGTATGGCAAAAACCATCACAATATTGTAAAGTAATTATCTGCCAATCTAAATAGATAAGTTCCTTTAAAAAACATTTTTAAATGAAAGAAAGCAATGATTGTAAGTATAGCCTTTTCCTGAACAGTCTGAGTTACTCTAACAAATTATAGAAACTGAAGGAGGGTCACGGGCCCCCCGGGTCGTTATCACACTGCGAGTAGCTTGGGGACTCAGAACTTCAACTTGTGTCCGAAGCGGTGGCTGGGACTGTGTAACTGAGCCACAAACCTGTAGGTCTGCACTAGCAGAACATCGGAATTGATGAGAATTGTGGATGCACAGGTGGCGGCAAAGAATTTGCGCTGGAACGGATGTGCCCTCCACCCCTCCAAGCCCCTGGGTGAAGGACCCCGTCCCGTTCCCTAGCGTCTTTCTTTTGAGGGTTTTGTTGGGGGGTGGTTGTTTGGGGTTCTTTTGTTTGTTTGTTTGGCCAAACTGCATGGCTTTCAGGATCTTAGTTCCCCAACCAGGGATCATAGCCAGTCCTCAGCAGTGAAAGGAGAGAGTCCTAACCACTGGGCCACCGGGGAATTCCCTCCCTAGCCCCTTTTTCATCAGCTTCCAATCGCACATCTGCTTTTTGATCCAGTCACAACCACCACACACCTCCTGAAGTTCAGAGAAGTCCTCCTCGTATTCAATACGTGTGGCCACTCAGTGGTGTCCGGCTCTTTGCAGTGCTGTAGACAGCAGCCCTCCAGGCTCCTCTCTTCATGGGACTCTCCAGGCAAGAATACTGGAGTGGGCTGCCATTTCTTCCTCCAGGGGATCTTCCCGACCCAGGGATCAACCCCATGTTTCCTGTGTCTCCTGCATTGGCAGGCGGATTCTTTACCACCGAACCACCAAGGACGGATCACAGGTAAGTTCATCACTGAGGAGCAGGTGGTCTGAATTTCTGCAGGCTGAAATTCACAGTGGAAAATTCAAAAAGGAGTAATCTGCCCTCTCCACAAATACATAGAGTTCTCAGTGGGCATAAAGTATCATGCCCAAACTGGAGCATTTGGAAACACAATTTTCAAAGACTCACCATCAGTAAGTCTGCCATGTGAGAACTCACCGTCAGTTCTCACATGGGCAGAACACATGTGAACACGTATTAGAGATATGTGTGCCTGATTATGACCACTAAAAAAATTGTTGCACAAGTGTTTCATGGATTATAGGCATCAGTGATTAGAGACACAAGGAGCGTGCACCCACTTTGAAAGGTTCATTTGCCCAAAATGACTCCCCAATCTCACTGTTATTGCATGTTGTCGATAGGGTTGGCAGGCCCATAAATCAAGTTTCCCTTTTTTTATTAAACCAGAGACCAGTGATGGGGATTTTATGTTCTTTCCACAAATTTGTTGGGAAAACACCCAGTTTTATTTAAGACCTTTTTTTTTTTAAACTTTCAAAACCCAGCATGTGATTCTGTATCTTGTTCTTCTAATTCAACACATAAAGTTCCCCGTGTCCCTAATGTTCCCGTCTCCCCAACAAAACCGGACTGAAGTTTCCTCCAACAATAACAGTCATTGCAAGTTTATATTTTCAAATGACTTTCCCACACATGGCCCTTTTCATTTTCTTTCCAGAGTTGGAAGACTGCTGTAATCTTCTTTTTTTAAATATGAGAACACCAAACCCTCGAACAGAAGAGCAAATACGTATTGAACACGTGTTCAGGGACCTTCCTGGTGGTACAGTGGATAAGAATCTGCCTGCCAATGCCGGGGGTGCAGGTTCTATCCCTGGTCCCAGAAGATCCACGTGCCCCAGGGTAACTAACGCCTGTGGGGCACACCCACTGAGCCTGCACTCTGGAGTCCACCTCTGTGGTGCAACCATTGAAACCCTTGCCTAGAAGCCGTGTCCACAGGAGGAGCCCAGGCACCTCAGCTCACCGCTCGGAGTAGCCCCCACTCACCGCAAATAGAGAAAGCCCGAGTACACAGTGAAGACCTCCAAAAATGAGTAAGTCGGAACTTACATTACCATGTGTAAAACAGATGGCCAGTGGGAATTTGATGTAGGATGCAGGGAACCCAAACCAGGGCTCTCTAACAAGCTAGAGGGGTGGGATGGGGAGGGAGCTGGAAGGGAGGTTCGAGAGGGAGGGGACATACGTACACCTATGGCTGATTCATGTTGATGTTTGGCAGAAAATAACAAAATTCTGTAAGGCAACTATCAGTTAATTTTTTTTTCTTTAAAAAACAGGAAAAAAGAGCTTTAAAAAGCATGGGCATAAGGCATTTCTGTGTATTTCCCCATGGGGCCCTTTCAACGCCTTAAAAACGCCAGTGCTATCAGTAACCCACTTCACAGATGAGGACACTGAGACTTAAGGAAGCCAAGGAGATTACAGCAAGGGAACGGCTGAGCCAGGAGTCTCACCCCAGGAGCACAAAGCCATGTCCACGGGCTCCCTGCCCAAGACCTCTCCTCCTTGGGCGCCCTTTCAGGGTGTAAGCTCTGAAGGAAGCCCCACCCTTCCTTCTTCCCTAGGGACAGCGCAACAGGTCTTGACTCAGTGGCAGCAAGAGACATCAGCTGTATCTCTGTCAGCTTCTTCTCTGCCCCAGCTTCCTTCCTAAGATTTTCCCTTATGAGGCTGTGGGGTCAAGGTTGGCAAGCAACAATGCCTCCTTAGACCCCTGCCCTCCTCCCATCTTGGGCTTCCCAGGTGGTGCAACTGGTAAAGAACTCTCCTGCCAATGCAGGAGACATAAAAGACGCAGTTTCAATCCCTGGGTGGGGAAGATCCCTTGGAAGAGGGCATGGCAACCCTCTCCAGTATTCTTACCTGGAGAATCCCCATGGACAGAGGAGACTGGCGGCCTATGTTCCATGGGGTCACAAAGAGTTGGACAGAACTGAAGCGATTCAGCATGCACACTCCTCCCATCTCCAACTTTCTCCTGGTTCCACTCCCTTTCCTGTCTTTCCTGCTGCAAGGATCACCCTTCCCAGCCTCCTTCTCTAGCTCCTCCCATGCCCAGAGGTCCCATCCCTTCCCCTCCCATGAACACCACACTCACCGCCATCTCTTCTGCTCCTGCCCCAATGTGGAAACTGCAGGTTTCCAGGGGATCAGGCCAAAACCTTCAAGTTGCCATATGTTTGACCTCATTACTGGGTACACAGTATGGATCCAGTAAATATTTGTTAAATTGAATCATAAACCCATAAAGAGAAAGAACTAATGGTTTCAAAGAATAAGGCACTGAAACCACTAATAATAGCAGAATGAGAACGATTAACATTCCAGGCAGCATACTCAGTATTGAACCTGCTTTTACCTATTTAAGCTTCACCAAAATGTTACAACAGATGTCATTCTTACTCCCATTTTGCAGCTGAGACGGCAAGGTTCCAAGAGGTCTAGTTTGCCCGAGCATGCTAAGCCCCTTCAATCATGCCTGACTCTTTGCAACCGTATGGACTGCAGCCTACCAGGCTCCTCTGTCCATGGGATTCTCCAGGCAAGAATTCTGGAGTGGGTTGCCGTGTCTTCCTGCAGGGGATCTTCCTGACCCAGGAATCAAACCTGTGTCTCTTATGTCTTCGGCATTGGCAGGCAGGTTCTTTACCACCAGTGCCGCCCGGGAAGCCCAAGGTGACAAACCAGGAGGCGGCACAGCCGTGACCGTGGTTGGCCCTGACTCCAGCCCCTTGGTTTCTCAGCACCATCGCTGTGTGTGGCTCTGGTCAGAGTTTTCCCCTGCTGTCGTGGTCCTCAAGGCCCCGTCTATGAAATAAGGGACCAGCTTTGAACCCCAGACACCAGCTGCTGGAAAGCCCTTTCAGTGTCCCCACTCCAGGCTGGGCCGAGGCGTATGAGCCAGCAGCCTTGCTGGACCCTAGCTCCTTTCTCGGCTCTCCCTGCCCCTTCTTGCTCTGTCTGGATCTTCTTCCTTCCCTGACTTCCCAGCTGCCTGCCATTCCCGGGATCCTTGAGGGGAACCCAGGCCCTCTCACCCAGCACCTGGAGGAGCCACACTCCCCACGTGACTGTCTCCTGAGGCTCCGAGATGTGACAAGGTCATGGAGAGCCAGTGGAAAGCAGAAGACGGGCCCAGTTTTGCATTTCTTTCCTGCAGAATGAAGCCCAGCTGTCTTAATCCGTTTGGGCTGCTAAATCAGAATCCCATAAACTGAGCAGCTGAAACCAGTGGTCCCCAACCTTCTTGGCACTAGGGACTGGTTTCACGGGAGACAATTTTTCCATGGACTGGGATGAGGTGGGATGGTGTCGGGATGGCTTCAAGATGATTCAAGGGCATTACATTTAATATGCTGCCACTGATCGGAGAGGAGGCAGAGCTTAGGTGGTAATGCAAGCGATGGGGAGTAGTTGTAAATACAGATGAAGCTTCACTCCCTCACCTGCTGCTCACCTCCTGCTGTACTGCCTAATTCCTAACAGGTCATGGACCAGTTGCGGTCCATAGCTGAGTGGTTGGGACCCCCTAGCTTAAACAACAAAAGGGCTTCTCACATGGCAATTAGGGTAAAGAACCTGCCTGCCAATCTAGGAGACACAGGTTCAACCCCTGGGTCAGGACGATACCCTGGAGGAGGAAATGGCAACCACTTCAGTATTCTTACCTGAAACATTCCATGGACAGATGAGCCTGGCAGGCTGTAGCTCACGAGTTCCAAGGAGTAGGACATGACTGAGCAACTGAGCACACACACAGTTATTTCTCACATTTCCGGAGGCTGGAAATCTAAGATCAAGACACCAGATACAGTGTCTATAGGAGTCATCCCTGCTTTGCTGTTTTCTGGTCATAGCCTCAGTGCCTTACATGGGGGAGAGACAGAAAGAGCATCTCTCTGGTGTCTCTTCATTAACGGCACTAACCCCGTTCATGAGGGCTCCACCCTCATGACCTAATCACCCCCCATAGGACCACCTCCTAACACCACGGAATAGGGTGTTTAGGCTCTGAAGCATGCATTTGGAGGGGATATATTCAATTCATAGCCTGGGCAGTTAGGCACTGTTAGTGCTCACTGCCTTGTCACTCAGCTTCTGAGTTAACCCAGAATCTTCCAGGAAAGGTGTCCAGACAGGACAAACCAGAAGTCTCTGAAGATCTAGCCCTGATGGGAGAGAAACAGAACCTCCTGGAATTGGCTGGGAGAGCAGAGAGGACTCAGTGAACTGCTCAAGGCTACCCCCACCATATCTCATCTCTGTGTTCATCCCCCAGGAAGCAGGGATTCTTTCGGTGGTATTAAGGACAAGGATGCCAAGAGTCCCCTGCAAATGCAATAGGCCAATAGGATAAGCAGAAAGTGGCTTCTTAGAAGCATCAAGGACTTTGAGTGTGGCCTGGGCAACAGGTCGGTTGGGGGAGTCCAATTCTCTCCTCTCAGCTCTGCTGCTCTGTCATCCCTGGGAAGGGGGCTGGGAGAGTGGTCTTCATTCATGGAATTTGTCAAAGTATTTGCTCAAAGGGTCATTGTGCAGATCTAAAGAGGAAATCCACTTATAATGTCCAACATAGCCGTTGTCATCATCACCATTACAACCTATCAGAGGCTCTTAGCTCCAATTCTAATTTCACAAATGTGCAGGGTCATTAGTAATAAGCCAGGTGCCTATGACAAATGCTGTCTGAAAACGGAGTTCACTCCAAAGGCTGTCTCCCTCTGCTGGTTCTATCAAAGTTTATCCTCAAGGTTTCACATCAGCATTTGAGATCCCTGCTTTTCTGGAGGCCAAATGCATGAGAGGAGGGACTGGACTGGCACACAGCCTGCATCACTGGAGCCGGGTTTGCCAGTAGGACGTAATCCATCTTGTTTTTTCCATCAACGTCCTCAGGACTAAATTTGTGATTTTTCACTAATGAATGACAGCCAAATAGTACCTGGACCCATGCCTCCTCCAAGATCACATCTCCTATTCCTGCAGTTTCTTTAGGCTGTATTTCTTTGCTTAGTGGAAGTGGGAGTTCTAACTCACCAGGAAAATAAGCTTTGCCTTTGGAGACGATCTGCATGGAGTTCTGGATTTTTCACTCTCGTCTCTAAGCAAGAAGCAGCTCTGGCCAAGTTCCCCTCTTTAAAGGCATCTGTCCAGACGTGTGTCCCCCAGTCTGGCTCTTAGAGGAGCATGAGGGAAATGGCATGAAGGTCCTGGAAGACACATGGCCTGGGAGCAGGGGTGAGTTTGAGGCTGCAGCACTTCACTCATCTGCTTCATTTGCTGGGTTTTGAGGGGTGTTTCTGTTTCTGGTTGTGGTGTTTTGTTTTGTTTTTGTTTTGCCTTGACAAGTGACTGGTGAGGATCTTAGGTCTCTGACCAGGGATTGAACTTGGGCCTTTATCAGTATAAGCGCTGAATCCTAACTAGTGGATCCATCACCAGGGAATTCTTGAGTTTTAAATAAGAGTGTTAAATGCACACATACATTTTAAAATTCCCACACCCCATCCACTTCTCATTTTACAGGTAATAAATGGGTGACGGGCAGGGGTAGTCTGCACTGGTGACAGTTAAGATACCAGCCCCCAGACCCATAACCAGTGGTCTGAGCACAGTGCTTTACAGCCTTGGGAAAGGACCTCAAACACCTGACCAGGAGCATCTTGGATCAGAGCTGCTCCACAGTGTATTCTTAAAAGTTCGCCAATGTAGAAGAAAAATGTATCTACACCAGTCAAGTCCTCTGACGGCTGCTGTTGTTCACTGCAAAGTCATGTCCCAACTCTTTGCAACCCCTTGGACTGCAACACACCAGTCTCCTCTATCCTCCACCATCATCCAGAGCTTGTTCAAATTCATGTCCACTGAGTCGGTGATGCCATCTAACCATCTCATCCTCTGTCACCCCCTTTTCCTTTTGCCTTCAATCTTCCCAGCATCAGGGTCTTTTCCAATAAGCTGACTCTTCGCATCAGGTGACCAAAGTATTAGAGCTTCAGCATCAGTCCTTTCAATGAATATTTAGGGCTGA